CTCCCTCACACACACACACACACACACACACACACACACACACACACACACACACATACTTTTTATACTACTGCAGAGCAGGCATCTCAATTGGTACATCCAGAGAAACCACTGAAGGGAATCGTGAGGCACAGAGACAACATTTTTTTTCATTCAATAAAAGCATGGACGCTGTCAAGCTCCAAAAATGACCAAAAGGTAGAGTTAAAAACATTTTGTATTTTTGTGTTCAATGGATGAAAAAACAGTAGAGCTAAGAGTAAAGAAAAAAACAGTCTCATAAACTGGTACTCCTCGTGGTCAAAAATGACCGCATTGGAAACAAATGGAAAGCAAATTTCATCTAGTGAAGACATTTGCCACTGCACCCACAGTGACAACAAAATCTTACTGAAAGCTCATTCTTTTAAATATCAACCTCAAATTTGGAACACAGCTTGTTTAGATTTATGGCTTTGATTTTCTTGCAGTTTTAGAGTAACATGTTTTGAAAAATACGCATTTCATAAAAATTTGAAAACAGTATTTTTGTGCATTTTTCATAACAACAAACTTCTTTGCATTTCTTTTTTTTTCCCACTTCAGCAATAATTTGTCAAGTGTCTTCTTTAAAAAGAGACTTAAGTCTGTGCTCCAAAGCATTTAAGATTTACATCAGATTAAGTTGGAAATTTCATTTTCAGGTCTATGCTGATTAACAGGTAATAAATCGATTATAACTACTGCATAAATAGAATTAAGAATGATAAAAAAAATCCCCTAAAATTGCACAATATTAAATACAACTAAAATACAGTATATTCATTTCATCAAATTAAGAGAAAATAATCAAATAAAAAAAAATAAAAAATATGCACCAGAGGGTTAAGCTGCTTTCTGATGTTTTTGCTAAAAGTGTGTAGTGTTTTTAAGCTAAAGTAATGATGACGCTCTAGTAAGACATCTTGGGGAGTTTTCTAGGTTTGTAGGTTAAGGATACAAACACACTCGGCTAAATTTGTTTAACATGTTTGCATGCGGCTGTCATAAACACCCAGTGGTACTGCTCTTGTTGCATTATGGTGCAAAAAAGCAGGCTGAATCAAAGTGACAATTAAGAGTCTCTCACATGACACAGCCCTGATAATTAATTCAGATTCATATGGACCGAGTGTCTGCTTTCCCTTCCAAATCACCCAGAGCCCACACGATCAATACGTTCACACATGCTAAAGTACGACTGCTGTGACAGCAGAAAGGGGAATCATGGCATAGCACATACTTCGTATAATCAAGAGCACATCTCTAAGTCTCCAGAGAGCATTACACGCACACATACACAGACTGGGATGATGAATTAAATATGGGCTGCTGAAGAAGCAGCCGACCTCTGACCTCTGGGTGAGGGACGGGGCAAGCAGGCGTGAAAGGTAATCGCAGAGACAGAGGGGAACAATCGGCCATTCGAGCTCAAGATACGTGCATGAGCCTTTTTACTAGGAGTGTCCGGATGAGGTCTGCAAGGATTTGGGGATTTTAGGGATTTCTTTAGGAGAAAAGGAGAGGGGGGCTAATGGAAAGCTAGACGTATTAGAGAAAGACGGATGTGGGCGCGCTGGAGGGGGCAGCTGTGAGAATTCGCCAAATGGTGTGAATGAATCGTGAACGCAGTCAATAGTGCGTGTGAAGGACGAGCAGGGTTAAACCTCCACATGTGACCCAAAAGAGAGAATGAAGTGAGGAGAAAAGAGGATGAGGAAGAAAACGCAAAAGAAATGGAGAGATACAAAACCGCTCCATTCAGCAAAACAAAATATCTCACAGTGTAAATAGAGAGGGAAAAAAAACTGATCCCAGAAAAGACCTATGATATACAATGAATGAACGAACGAAAGAAAGTAAATAAATAAATAAAATTAGTATAATAATATACATTATCTGAAATAAATGTGAGTGGTGCTTATCCATGAAAAACATGCCACCACAAAGTGAAAAACTTACTAGAAAAAATAAACAAATAAAATTTAATTTAATAAAATATCTTTAAATAAATAAATATGAGTAGTGTTTATCCATTGAAAATATGCCATCACGAAGTGACAAAGTTAATATAAATAAATAAATTAAATTTGTATAATAATATATATTAACTGTAATAAATGTGAGTGGTGTTTATCCATGACAAAAATGCCACCACGAAGTGATAAAGTTAATGGAAAAAATAAACAAATAAAATGTAATGTATGTAAACAAATAAATAAATGTGAGTAGTCATTATCCATGAAAACATCACCACGAAGCAACAAAGTTAATAGAAAAAATGTAATTAATAAAATTGAATATATAAAATATATAAAAATATATCAAATTAAATAAATAAATGAAATCAAATTTATTTACTTACTTACTTAATTTATTTAAACTGTGCTTGTCCATGAAAGACACCACAAATGGACAAAAAATAATATTAATTAAAAATTTAATTAATTAAAAATATTAACATAAATCAAATAAAATTGTACAGTATCTATACTAGGTGTGAGTGGTGCTTGTCCATGAAAAACATTCCACCACGAAGTGACAAAGTTTGATACTTGGTGTTTGTTGAAATCCTTCAGCTTGAGCAGTAGTAATGGTAATGCTTGCCTCAGCAAACCACACTAATTAGAGGGAGGAATATGGCTGTAGCATGATGAGCTAATGAATTTTCTCTCACTACATTTCCTGTCCATCACTGTCAGACGCGTGTGTCATACACTCGCGTGGGTGTGCGTGTGTGGCCTCCGCTGACCATCTGTGGATGGTACTTTTATTATTAATTTTAAAGCACAGCTGGTCGAATGGACAGACAGAGAGAGAGAGAGAGAGAGAGAGAGAGAGAGAGACTTCTGGGATATCATAGAAACATTTTCTGCCTATATAACATAGCTCACTCCAGTTATTGTTAATAGTAAAATCAAATTAAATTACATTTTTAGACCATCTTTAAACAATTAACTTTCAGAATTTAAATTTATTTTTAATATACAATTTCATTTTTAATGTACTTAATTTATTTTAATTTACAATTACATTTTTAATTTGCTTAATTTATTTTAATTTACAATTGAATAAGAATAAATTAATGGCTAATTTACACCTGATTAAGCAAGTTACAAAAATTTCCATGAAGCAACAATCACAGATCATCAGAATGTATTTTGATGTTGCATAGTAACATGAACTGAAATTATTTTAGTCCAATGAGATTTCAGTGTGGGTGGGGCAACACCGGTTATACTGATTAGGAAAAAAAAAAATTTGCTCACTGATAAAATCAGCAAGTCGCTGTGCTATTGGGCTAACAGACGTTTCTATTTGACAACAGCAACACGAACAAGCACCCGTGTATCACTTTCTACAGAAGCTCAATGAGAAATGGAAAACAATCTCTTGTGCACTTATTGAGAGTTCAAGGAAAGCTTTATATTTCTCTGCAGGTTGAGCAGTGCTGCGGCTGTCATTACAGTAGCCCGCTCTCCTCCGGACCACATTTATACCAATTCAGAGGTGTTTTTTTCCTTTAAGTGGACCCATTATGTCATTAAGTCCTTCTAAATGTGAACTGCAGAGTGAAATGCGCATGCCGATTGCGACGAGGGTTTCATTTTGTGCCTTTTGGTAGGGAGATAAAGAAGTGTGTGCTTGTGTGTGACGTTGATCTCTTCATTTCAGCATTCAGACACGGCACCTGTAGTACAAACATATTTTATGGCATATTTCAGAGCTAATCTGAAAGCATTTAGTCTCTCTTTCTCTAGTAAGCTGTTGCTGAAGGGTGAATAGAAGGAGGTTTCGGTTTAAAGTGCTTTTCTAGAAATCAAAGGCACACCGTAAGTGTTTTAACACAGTGTGAGCAGTTCTGCAGGTCATGTATTGATGCAAACACACTCACACACACACACACACACACACACACACACACACACACACTCACCCCTGATGAAGGGTACGCCGTCCACCCGAGCTCTGCTGTGGCGGTCCGGGTGTCCATTAATGTTTCTGAAAAGCACACAAAACAAAGTTTTATGAAGAATCATGAAAATGTATGTTGCAGGTATTCATTTAGAACTGTGGTATCTTAACAGAGAAAAACTGAACTGGGTGTTTCAGATAAGGGAGGAATGCACAATAGAGGGCAGGAATGAAAAGCATTGCTCTAGAATTCAAACTCTCCGCAGTGCCACTTTTGCACCACAGTGGCCCTGTGTTTCTGAAGATGGATAGAGGATAAGTTGTCTGTGTCCTTAAAGTGGTCAGCTCTTGTCTGACCTTATCAAGGGAGATATCTTTGACCAGCCGGGAGAATAATCCACATACACACACTCCACCAAACACTGATAAGATGGTTGAAAGCGATAGTGAACCTGGATTGATACCTGACTTTAACATCAATGACATCAACAATAACATCAATTCAACAAAACAGGTGCCATTTGTGTCCCTCATACCTACAGTATGTGCGTAAAAAAAAAAATGTATAGCTGATTTACAGAAATTTTTCAATAGTACAAAATAAATAAATAAATAAATAAATAAAATAAAATAAAATGTATTCTTTAGTAACTTTGTTCTGTTTTTTTTCTCTCATGGAGATGAAATTTAACATCATAGAACATTCAAGGGATCCACACAAAATGTCAGTTTTTTTTTTTTTTTTACAAAATAAATAAAAATAATACTTTTATTTTTAGCAGTTCTCTCTCGCTCTCTCTCTCTCACTCTCTCTCTTATTTAATGAACATATATTTTTGGTCTGTCCTCTTGTCAATGTCAGTGAAAAAGTGTATGTATGTATTTATTTACTTATTCTAACTAAATAAGTTTCTTCATTTCATTAAGATTTTTGGTCTTTCTTCTTGTTTCCAATTTCTCCTTGCCATAATAGCTAAATGCACAACGTCAAAGCTTTTTTCTTCCTTTAAAATACTGAACTATTCCATAATTTTAAATAAATAAATATTCTGAAATATGATCACTTAAGAGTAGATAGATACTACAAATATTAGCATCAAATTCTCTTCCCAAGAGGTACAGCTCATATGAAAGAATCAGATCTCAGTGAATCTCAGTGAATATTTAATATCATCCAAAAACTTTCTTTAATCACTTTATCAAACTGAAAACCAATGGAACCTCAAAAGCACCCTTTTCATTGAGTAACCAATTTGTATTCAGTCTGCAATATTGTTTTATGCTCCTTTTTGCACACATGAGTAATGGCTCTGAAAAGTAAACTGCACGTCAGTACGATGACGTTCACTTCAGTTCTGCTGCGCTGTGGGGGCTTCCTGCACTATGACATCGTTAAAGTACCACAACAAGTTTCTGAAGTCAAACCACATCAGTGTAAACAGATCTACATCCAACTCCTAAACCAACCAACAGCCATTCTCCTTCTACCCTTCCCTCTGGGTCCGTCACATAAGTGATGTCACAGGAGAGAGAAAAGATGAAGAATATCCACTCTTTCCACAAAACACAATCCGACGCTACGCACCGGAAGCCAACTGTCATTTCCACTCTCCTCTCACTCTCTGCGTCCCTCACATCTACATCTCTCTGGAGTTAATCATACACTCTTCTCCTTTGACGTTTCTCTATATTTCAAGAGGAAGAAAGAGAAGATGAAGTAAGAAAGCCTTGCTCTCTTTCAGATAGACGAGGAGAAGCAGATGACAAGCACTCGAGCCTCCCGCTGATGGATTCATAACATGATGTATAATTCTGCGATAACATGACACTCTCCTCCCCGGCCGTCAATAACTCACCGCCGGCTGATCGAGAAAACACAGACTCACTCGAATGAATGGTAACGCATATTGTCAAACGCTTCAGGAAAGCATCAATAAGGCTCATAAAGTTTTTATCCGAGTCAGTGGCAGCCGGTAATGCCAAGTTAACTTCCTCAAACACAACAAATCCAATTCAAATCAGCGTTCCTCTGTCTAACCATGTTTATTCTCTGTATGCAGGCAAAATTTCAAAGCCCTGAGCTGCATACTTGGGATTTTAGACTCATATTCAATGGTTCCAAGTGGCAGACAGCAAAATAAAACTATCTTTTAAGGCACGAGTGTAATGAAAACAATTTAAAATAATAATTAATAATTCATGAAAAT